GACTTATAATTTATATTTTTATTTTATTTTCTTTTATTTTCTTTTATTTTCTTTTATTATTATTATTATTATTATTATTATTATTAATCAAAAATACAAAAAAAAAATTTTATTAAATACTTAGACTAATTATCTTTTATTTTATTTCCATTTTTATTTCCTTAAACATGAAACCCTAAAAAACATTTCCTTAACAAATTTAATTTCTTTTCTTAATCAAATTAATTTAGACTTAGTTTTGTTTTAATTTTCTTTTCTAATTAAATCAACTTAAAATTTAGGAATTTTAATTAATTAATTTCTTTCTTTTTTAGTTTAATTAGGTTAACTTTAAAACCTTTCATAAAAAACCACAAAAAACAATTTTTCTTTTCTTTTATCTCTATATTGTTGTACATTTTATTTGACATTATTCAATATGGTTGTAATAGTAATTAAGTCTTAATTTCTTTCATCCACATTAGTAATTTGTATCCCCATCCCCTAAATGATGTAATAGCGTAGAACTTTAAATTTCCACAATTTACCGCTTTCCATATTATTGTTAGTAACTAGGGTTTGTATGGCAAGACTTAAAATCAATAAATAGACAACCTTAATTCAAGACAAAAATACATGAAAATAATACACTTCGCACACTTGCACCTCTAGGGTTAACCCACACTAGTAGCCTTAGAGCAAACAGTCATGTCCCTCGAACGTGGCATACTTTAGCAAAGACCCTCGAATACAAGATCGTATTCCCTCGATGACCCTTCGATGTTACCTTCGATAAACGATCTTAGACCCTTACAACAAATTGCTAAGGTATCTTACAATTTTTCCTTCTATGGTTGTACGATGACCCACGCCTGTCCCTTACATCCAATGATATGGTTGCTTACCAACTAATGGTAAGATAACACTATCTAAAGGAGGAGGAAAAGAACAAAGACTTTTTAAGTAGGTAGAACGTTCCTAGTTGATTTCTCACAAATAAAATCATCTTCACACTTACACTTTCAAAACATCTTTCCAAAAAACAAACATCTCTTTGAACTATTTTCAAAACCAACATTTTGTATACATTCTCGCCGAAACGAGAATCATTACAAAGTTTGTCGAAACAAAGGCGTTTTCAAAATATTTTCAAACTTACACCAAAAATAAAAACATTTATAAAGCATTTCAAAGTGAGCTAGAAACTAAGATCCCGTAGATAACTACAGATGAAAAGGGTGCTAACACCTTCCCTTTTCATAACCTACCCCTCTAACTCAAGAAAATTCTCAAAAGGTCTTTCCTGTTCTTTTCACCATTTCCTTTATAGGATAAAAGAAAAGTCAGTGGCGACTCTTGCTATCCACAACAATTGAGATAAAACACAAAACACTCAAGTCAGTTCTCCCACCGTATTACAGAAGCCAATGAGAAATACATACTTGAAATCTAATTTCCATTGCAAGAAGTTAAACACAAATATCACTTATATGTATTTCTCAATACATGCAATATATGCAAATATTCTAGTGAAGTCGAGGTTAGGCTTTTGTAAGAATCCCTTTGCCCCAAGCCTTGCTTGGTGTTAGGAAATGGAACCATCTGAAAGGTGCTTCACTTTATAACCGTTTGACTATAATAAGTATCTTCTCTGCTAATAAAGAGACTAAATTTTATGTTTGATCTTCCTTTATTGCCTTAATCCTTCCTCCATAGCAGTAATCCACACAAAGGATGTAGTTGTTTCGTCATAAGTGAGTGAATCAACATCAATAATAAGGTTAAGTACAGTAGGCATTTCTCTTGTGTGATCATCTGGTTTAGAATAACATCATATTCTTAGATACTTCTAGTTGAAAATTTTATCATGTGCAAGATTCTTGCATGCTCTACTTAATCATCTTTACCCCCCAAAAAGTATGTGAAAGTTTCTTTTCCTTTTGCATAACCATTATGTTTAAGGTTGTACTTTTGATCTCATGTTGAATTCCCATCTCTTCACAAATGGTTTCAAATTCTCTTTAAGTGTATTCATCACCCCATTACTCTAGAGAATTTTGAGTTGTCTTTCTGCCATAACTTTAAACTTTAGAAACCTTATGGACACCTCCTCTTTGGTCTTTATCAGATAGACACATATATATATAGCTCTCATAAGAATCTACAACAAAAAAGATTTCATGGATTGCTCGCTTATCAAGAAATTATTGCACACATATACATGCAACCTGATTCTAGAAAAATCTAGTACTATTTTCCTTGACTTTAAGGTAAGAAAACTATAAAAACTAAGGTGTACATACCTGAGGTGTCGTATCCAAGAATAATCTCCAATCATCTCAATAGGAGGACATAAAGAATATATTGTATTATACGGATTTGAAAGACTCTATTTTGATAGAGAAGAACTATCAAAGTAGTATTTGATTTGCACCAAAGACTTCTATTTGATTGTGGTGTGGTGCACGATAAACCGTTATGAAGCAATTGGTCCATGCTTAACAAGTTACTTGTTATGCTTGGAATATAAAATACACTAATAATGAATGCTTGATTCCTTGACCGTCTTTGATCAAAATATCACAAACCCCCTCTAATGGAATTATTCTACTATCATCAAACTGTATCTCAGCTTTTCTTGAATCATCAAAATTGACTTGAAGTACTAAATGACTTGTAATAGGATTTGAATAACCTATCTCCAAATACCACATATATATGCTTCGGATTTCATCATTTGTTGTTGCCATCGAGAGGATAAGGTTTGAGTCTGTGTCATTCTCACCTTGAGCTACATAATCCTCCTTCCATGCATTACCTTTTTCTATGGGAAAAAATTTTCTTTTACACTTATCATCAAAGTCTCCAAACATTGTCAATTATATCATTTAATGTTCTTCTTGTTCATTGTATTTTTCTCTTTCTATCCTAATAAACGCTATTGTTTCTTGAAGACGATTCAAGTTGATCACCTTTCTTGAGTTGTCTTGTTGATATCCCTCTTTCTTGAATTTGTATTTTTTTCCTTCCACTCTAAACCACCACATTTCTTGGATGATTGAGCCTAAAGGAGTCTTGTTAGTCACTTGTTCTTTGGTTCTTTGAAGCGCCCTATGTTCATCTGCTTCCAAGGAACACTACAATTCATCAACCTTCATGATAGACAAATTATTTAATTCCCCAATTGTCACTACAATGTAATCAAATTTGGAGGATAGATTGTGCATCACTTTGTTCGCGATGGTTTGATTAGAAACAACTCCATCGCAATTCTTCATTTGATTGGTGATGATCGTGATACTATTGAAATACATAGCAACCTTCTCATTGTTCTCCATCTATATCAATTCAAATTGTCTTCTCAATATTTGCAAATGACTTTCTTAAGTTTGTCATCACTAGCACGACCTTTCTCAAAAATGTATTATGCCTCCTTCGATGAAGTTGCATTCTCATTTTGTTGGAAATTGTCTCCAAAATATGCTTTCACTAGTTCCATCACATCTTTGAACCTAAATATCACCTTCATTTGCTTGCTTCATCTATTTCAGTTCTTGCTGGGTGAAGATAGAGTTTCCCACTAAAATTATTTTCAAGATTCTCCAAATAACTCACCATCTTCACTCAATGATCGAGTAGAATGGACAACAAATATTAAAGATTTTTGAATCCAAGAGCTTGAGACTCTAGATACGACTTCTTAGAGTTTATATGCACACACCTAAAAGAAAAGTAAAGAAAGTAGAAGTCATTTGTGTGTATTGTACTTCACATTCCTTCTATTTGTATAGTTACACTTATGGTCACATGATGATTATATATACATCACCAGTTGAACGTACGATCACTGTAATATTAAATTCCAATGATGATATCAGACACTTTGATTGGACAACTCAATTTTTTTACTTGCTAAAAAGTACAGCAAGAGACAACTCCTTGTTGTGTAGGATTGTCTGAGAATTTTAGGCTTATTATATGTGGTGACAGCTCGCCCACGTATGACTGTGAAGAGCTATGTACTTGATTTTTGCGTGAGAGTTTGGATTTTTCTCCCCTTCGGAGAATGAGATATATATAGAAGGTTTCTTGGATTTGGATTAGAGAGTAGTTACCCTAGCTCTCTTATTAGAAACACGTAGAGGAGGGAACTTGTTCCTTTGATTTATGAGAGATGATTTCCGCAATGACTCTCTCTCCAATCACATACCGTTGAGACACATCATCACCCATATTTATTGAGTAAATAAAAATGGGAGGTAGTTCAAAATGTCCAACCCAAATACGGACGCATATACCCAAGTACATGCAGTTTATCACCACACATTGACGATTTCATGACCTATGTAAGACGACCTATCACCACACATTAGGAGTCCGACCAGTGATGAGACAATGAGTTTGTATCAGATATTCATGGACCTCTCCTTCTTAAGATCTAGTAATAATTTCCCTAGACAATTTTCAATTTGAAAAAAATTAAAGTTAAGTTACAGTTAAAAACATGAACAGTCCAACTCAATTAAACTCATTTCAGTAAATGTTGAACAGTTATTTTGTGTCTCCTGAATGCTGATATAGGATCTAATAATTAGTTAGTGATCAAGTGGATTTGTTAGACTGTTACATCAGCTATTAGAGAAAAATCAGAAGTAGGTGGACATTAGGCAAAGTTAGGTGTGGTGTAGGCACTAGTAAATGATGGAAGCAAATATTTTTCACGAAGTATTAAATTAAAATTAATGTACAAAAGACACCAAAGTGTGTAACAACCACAATGATCAAATGATCATGTCACCACCACACCACAGAATATACTCACCATATTCAAACACTAATCAACCACATATAAACACTCCAATTGGTTTTCTTAAACTATATGATACATATATTTATCTTCCTAATTTTATATACTGCTTATTGCAATCTCTTTTGCACCCTTTAACTAATTATAAGGAAAAGTTGTTTTTTTTTTCTTCCCTTTTTTGTGTCTAAATTAAAAAGTGTTTTTGAAAATTAAATTAGAAGAAAGATTTTTTGGCAGGAGGTCTTCCAACTGCTCTCATAAGGTTAGCAATTTCAAGAACTCTTGCCACTTTGGTTCCTCTTTTTGCCTCTGCTGATGCTTTCCTCTCTTCTGCTTTTCTATGAGCTTTTGCTATTTTGTTTTGTGTTTTCTCCAATGCTTTTGCTCTTTTTTCCTCCAGCTTCCTCTGCACACAAACAGGATTTTAATTTATGAAGTGCTGACACAGGAAACTCGACATAGACATTGACGAGTACATCAATAATAATTTAAAATATATATAAATTAAACATAATCATGAGTATGAGTGTCTGTTTCAAATACGAACACAGACGCACTTAAAAGATGTCGTGCTACATAGTTTTTAAGTCATTAAACATATTGCTGCTTGTTGGAGGGTAATTTATTTTGACCTTTTTAATTTTTGCTGTCAATAATAAGACAATAATGCAGATCATAATCATAGGTTTTCTTTGTCACCAAACCAGGACCATGTTCACCAAAATAGTTACTGTTTATAGAAAATGATTGCATTGCATGTGAAGGAAATTTTAGCTTTGGAAAAGCCAATGCAATATAGAGAGGACTAATTAGATTACTTTATATAAGTCAAATTAATCAATGATTATGGTTTAATTAATTTAATTTGAACAATTCCCTTTATAATATAAAGTAAGTAATTTCAACACATAATAAGAAAATTAACAGTTTAGTTTTTTTATTGACAAATGTTACTTGTTGGTTTCCTAAGAATGAAAAGTATTAGCAATATATATATAAAATAAATGAATGAGTATGAAACATTCCAATACATGATAGAATAAAGATAAAGTCCAAAATGAGTTTATTACTCCCTCCGTTTTATATTAGTTGTTGCAAATGATCATTTTATATTGATTAAGAAATAATAATAAATAAAAGAAATAAATGAAAGAGAGAATTATGATTTTATTAAATTAGTCTAATTAATCATTAGTGTATATTAATGTGAAGTGGAAAAATAATAAATTAAAAATATTTATTAAAAAATACAATTGGAAAATTAAATATAAAATTGCATTGATAATATAAAGTGGCAATTATTTTAAAACTAATTTTTTATTTATAAATGTGATACTTATTTTTAGACAGAGAGAATAATATTATTTATTTTACAACTAATTTTGTAATAAATAAATTATAATCAATATAAAATTTAATAAATATGTGTTTGAATGTATGTTAGAAACTACTTCACAATGAAAAATTGCTTTCCAATGCAATAAAACGTGAAAATAATGTAGTTGTTTGAAGCTATTGAATTGACTGGTTTCTCGTGTTAATTTTAATCTAATTGATAAGCATAATTAGAACATAGATCAAACTCTGAATTCAAGAAAATTATTTCAAATGGAATTAGTTCTATAGTAGTCAAAGGCTCAATACGAAAAATATCTAAGTGATAAACTCAAGGCGAAATCCATTAAAATTGTTCATCATATATAGTTTGTAGATGAGAAACATCATCGAACTTAATTCTAATTAGATGTAAGATTTGATTTTAATTAAATTTTGAAATAATTATTTTTGAAAATTCAAAATTACACTCTCAAGAGCGGTTAATTCGAGGACAACAAAACTATGTATGAATTTAAATATGTAACATAAAGTACACCAACCGACCAACTTCTAGCTAGGCTTTTAAAGTTTGTAGGCCTTTAAACTTTGTAATAACTAATTGAGTTATGATTCTCTTTTGGTATGTGATTTAGACATCAAACTTGTGGTACTTTGTTATCAATCTCTACCAAATTAGTACAGTGCATGCAAAGACGTAAAAATAGTTTACACTAAATATTCTTTCAATTAGTTATGTATTGATTGGATCAAAGTAGGTAGTAACAAATAATAAACCCTGCTTTATTTTTAGTCTTCATACTAATCATTAACTAAGATTTCTAATCATAGTAACAATTACCACAAGAGTAAGGGAAAAAAAAAAAAAAACCTACATGCAAATAACACCGTGAGAAACAATTTACAAGAAAAAATTTACCTCAACTTTTTTCAACCAAGTAGTAGCTTTTTGAACCTGTTCACCTTCCCAGCCATTGATGACAGCGTCTTCCCTCTTAAACCTGTTGTTAATCTTTGCAACTTTAGCGTTCTGCCAAGCTGATATCTTTGCATCAACTTCCTCTTTCTTCACTTTATCAACTGACACGTGTTCTTCTTCACCGCCGACACGTGTAGCACCACCACCGCGGCCGCCGCTGCTACCAGCAACAACTCTTCTGGTAGTAGGAGATTGAACAGGGTCTAAAGGGTTGTTATCAAGTACAATAGCCAAAGGGTTTGTTTCTTCCATCATATCTTCTTCTCTAATCCTCCCTAAATTATTGTTGTTGTTGTTGTTGTTACTGGTTTCGTATTGATCATGAGGATGAGATTGAGGAGTTATGTCGTTGTTGTGGTTAATAGTTGATCCTGCTAGAACCAAAGCATTGAATTCTCTGCTTATGGTTGTGAAGTTCTCACTATCTGTGCTGCTGGTGATGGATAAAGAAGATGAACGGTGGTTATGGCCACTGGTAGTTGGAGGTGGAGGTCGTGGTGGTGTTAAGGCATGGATTTCTCTGATTTCAGTGAATTGTTCATCTTCTTGGTTTTCATCTGATACATGTCTGGTTGAAGTATTTGGATTACTATTCATGGTGTAGAATCTAGATTATGAAACAACAAAGTGAAGAGATTTTATTCAAGCATAGTATAGTAATCTTTAGTTTGTGTGTGTGTGTTTTGTTTTTTTTTCAGGTTGATAGTGATTGGAAATGGTGAGAAGAGTCTAGACCACAAAGAAAGATATGGGAAAGGAGAGTTGAGGGTATGTAAAGAGATTTTCTTTTTTAAATGTAAACACTATTATTGGACTGGTTATAAAAGAAAGGCAGTGTTAAAAGAAAAGCAGATTAGGATTGATGTGAAAATCTTATGAAAATTATTTGAGGGAAGGTTCTGAAGGGGAAAATTTGTTATTATTGGTTTAATGATGGTTCTATTGGTTTGGTTTTAATTTTAATTTTTTTTTCGTATTTTAATCGAAATCATAGTCTTTTTTTGGCATTCCTATTTTCATTAATACGGTGGTATCAAAGGATCTGGTTGACTTAATTGCAACGATGAAAATTCTCATTTGATTTTGTTGTTACGATTTGTTTTCTTATCCAATCAGTTATTGAAATATTAAATTAGATTTGTTAAAATATTATATTAGATTAGATTTAATATTTAAATATAATTCAAGTTGCGTAGACTCAAGTCCAATTTGAGTTGTATATAAATAGTCTTAGTCTGTATCATTATTTGTACAATTCAATAATATAAATTCTTATTTTCTTTATTATTCTCTCTTTCTCTCCTTATTAAAAGTGCCTCACGCACTAACAAATTGGTATCCAATGCTTCCGATTTTTGTTCTTGATCGAGTTTCCAAGAATTTCACGCCAGAGATCGTGTTTGTAGGACAAGTGAATCAACCGTTGTGAAGATGACTAGTGATAAGAGCATTCTGAATTCTCATCCAATGCTTGACGGCAAGAATTGGATCCAATGGAAAAACAGATGCAATCCTTGTTTGGCTTCCTTGAAACCCTAGAAGTGATTACCAACGGTGTTCCTGCGTTGGCTGCAAATGCAACCGAGGAACAGAAAAAAAAAAGCCCACAACAAAGTCAAGAAGAAAGATTGCAAGCTTGCTTATTGTATTCAGACGGTGGTCAATGCTGCTAATTTCGACAGAATCTCTCATGCTGAAACAGCGAAGGAGACATGGGATATTCTAGTGAAGTATTACAAAGGATGTGAGAAAGTCAAGGTTGTCAAGTTACAAACTTTGTGTCGACAATATGAGTTGTTGTCGATGGGAGAAGATGAAAAAGTTGCAGAATATGTGTGGAAGGTTCAAAAACTCGTCCATCTCATGAAGGGTTATGGTGAAACCATAACTGATAAGATGATAGTTGAGAAGGTAATAAGAATGTTGACCTCTCACTTTGATCACGTTAACGTAGTTATTCAAGAATCCAACAATCTTGAAACCACTAAGTGAAAGATTTGGTTGGTTCGTTGAAGGCGCATGAGATGAGGACTGTCGAAAGGAAAAGAGTGTAAGACTCGATACAGACTCTGCAACCCAGTCATGGAAAAAGGATGGTGGTTCCAACAAGTTCAAAGGCAAGTTCGAAAAGACTCAGGGCAAGAAGTCTTGGTCGAAACCTCACAAACATTAGGTCGAAGATAGAGCTTTTGAATCCTCAAATGGAGGAGAAGGAAACTATTGAAAGAGCAAAGAAGATAAAAAAGGTGTGTAATGCTATAACTGTGAAAAGTGGGGTCACGTAGCCAAGAATTGTTGGTACATAAAAGACAAGGGATTGACAAGCAAGGACGAAGGAGCGAACCTAGCACGCCAAGATTCAGATGATTTTGAAGGTGGTATGGCGGTTATGGATGCAGTTGCAGATAACCATGTCGAATCCAAGATCTGGTTTCTCGACTCAGGCTGCTAGAACCATATGACTGGTTGAAAGGAGTGGTTGGCAGATTTTGACAAGTCGAAGAAGAAGTTGTTGCTGACATTCCCGACACAGTCGAAGTCGAAGAGGCTATGGTTAAATTAAGCCAAAGACCTCAAAAAAATAGAGTTCTTCCAATAAGACTGCATGATTATGAAGTGATGGGTGATGATGAAGTCACACCAAATGGAGAATTAGTTCATTTTACTTTACTTGCAGTTGCTGAACCAATTAACTATAGCAAAGCTTTAAAGACTAAATAGTGGAAATTAGCTATGGTCGAAGAGTTACAGGCAATCGAAAGAAACAACACACGGAAGTTAGTCGAATTTCCAGCACATACAAAAGTTATCGAAGTAAAGTGGGTGTTCAAGTTCAAACACAATGCAGATGGATCGATAGCAAAGACATAAAGCAAGATTAGTAGCTCGAGGGTTTTTTCAAAGAGAAGGACTCGACTACTCTGAAGTATTTGCTCTAGTAGCAAGATTGGATATTTTTCGACTATTGGTAGCATTGGCATGCAACCAAGGTTGGTAGACATTTCATTTAGATGTGAAATCGGCACTTCTGAATGGTCCTTTAGACAAAGAGGTCTATGTCACACAACCTCCAGGGTTTGTGATTCAGAAGGAAGCGAGTAAAGTATATAAGTTGAACAAAGCACTATATGGCCTCAAGCAGGCACCTAGGGCATGGAATAAGAAAATCGAATCATACTTAGTCGAATTGGGATTTATATAATGACAATCTGAGTATGGTGTATATGTTCAGGTTGTAGCACAAGATATAACAATCATCTGCTTATATGTTGATCACTTGATAGTGATTGGAAATAGCTCGGTGAACTTGTCAAAGTTCAAAGAGCTAATGATGAAGGAATTTGAAATGCCTGGTCTGGGAAAATTGTCTTATTTCTTAGTTATGGAATTTCAAATGTCGAAGCAAGGTATGGTGCTACATTAAAGGAAGTATGTCAAAGAAATACTCAAGAGATTCAGAATGGATGATTCAAATCCTGCATCCTCACCTGTCGAAGCAAATGTAAAATTGTAGAATAATGGAGAGGAAGACAAAGTCGATGTAACTTTGTTCAAGCAAATTATGGGATCTTTGAGGTATGTGTGCAACAGTCGACCTGATATAGGTTTCGCTGTAGGATTAGTAAGCAGATATATGAGTGAACCAAAAGGTTCACATATGAAGGATGTAAGAAGAATCCTGAGATATTTGAAGGGTTCGATAAATTATGGAATATTATTTCGATGAGATTTTGAAGATAAAGAAGCAATAGTTAATTGTTTTTTAGATGCTGATTGGTGTAGAGATAAGGAAGATCGAAGAAATACAACTGGATATTTCTTTCAAGTATTGGTGCCACAATATCATGGTGTTCGAAGAAACAACCTGTGGTGGAATTATCATCTTGTGAAGATGAATATATAGCTGGATCATATGTTGCATATTAAGAAATTTGGATCAGGTCTGTACTTGAAGAAATAAAGGTCGAAGTAAAGAAACCTCTTGTATTGTAAATTGACAACAAGTCAGCCATAAATCTGGCGAAGAATCCAGTTCTGCATGGAAGAAGTAAACATATTGAAGCAAGGTTTCATTTCTTGAGGGAAAAGGTAAATCGAGGTGAACTTGAAGTAACGCATTTCTCGAGTGAAGCACATTTGGCCGACATTTTCCCCAAAGGATTGAAGATCGACAAATTCCCGAATTTAAGAAAAAAAATTAGGAATAGTTCAGATCGACTATGACTAGCGTATGTTCGACAACTTGGATTATGGGGGTGTGTTGAAATAATAAATTAGATTTGTTAAAATATTAGATTAGATTAGATTTAATATTTAAATATAATTCAAGTTGTGTAGATCCAAGCCCAATTAGGATTGTATATAAATAGTCCTAGTATGTATCATTATTTGTACAATTCAATAATATAAATTATTATTTCCTTTATTATTCTCTCTTTCTCTCCTCACTAAAAGTGCCTCACGCACTAACATCGGTATGATTAATCACATCAATTTGTGTGTTATGATTTGTTTTTCTTCAAAATAAAAATGTTGATAGAAGTTCTTTTGGGTCCCTGTGCTTTTTTTGAATTTATTTGAGTTTTGAATTCTTAGAACAATAGTAATGACAATTAAAAAAAGATGATTATATTCAATATATTATAAATGTTCATCTCAGTGGAATTTTTTTGATGATCGGATATATGATTAAAAAAATTAAAAGGAAAGGGGATGTGGACTTATGTTCATGAAATTTATGTTAAGCCCACAAATATAAAAGATGGAGCAATATATCTTTATATGTAGAAATATGAGATGTTAGTAATTTGAAGATCCTTATTTGGACTAATAACTTTGCTTCTCAGTCAATAGGTCCCACTAGCAAAATTTGGCATTACTAAATGGGTTTGAGACCATTTGATAAGTTCGTATAATCAGTCTAATTTTGTAAAATGATATCAACTAAGGAGTAAATCAGTCTAATTTTTTAAAAGTGTGACCATTCAAAAAATTTCTTTGGCCATGACTAATTTATAGAATCAATGTTTGTTATGGAATCCACTTAATTAAAAGTTTTAAAGGCATACACCGACCAAAGAAAATAGCAGCATCTCATTCAATTTCTTATGGTCATTTTGGATGATTTTGAGAGTCTTTATGAGTGTATTCTACATTGTGCTTCTCTTCTCAGTATTGATTTCATAGTTAATAGTTTTTTGGTAGAAGAAATTAAATTTACATTTCACTCTAATATGATTTCAAATTAAGGAACTCTCAACACTCCTCCATTTGTTTTTATTGCTCCTATTTAGAAAGAAAAATCTCAAATGAGAATTGGACTTGGTTACGATGAATGTGCTTTTTGCACGAAGAATGTTTATTGTAAACCAATTCTTCCAAATTATTAAGAACAAATAAGAAGAATTTCATTAGTTCGCTATCCAATGTTGTAGTTGTTGCTAGTACTATGATTGATTTTGGTTTTGGTCATGTATATCCATCTGAGACCACTTATTGTAGAGCAATACCAAAAGTTTCTTGCCATTGAGCCACATGCCATGGACGCTTCCTCTATTAAAGGTTTTAAATTTTCTAATCTATCATGCATGTCGCCT